TATATATATATATATATATAGTCATCAGTTATAAGTCCCCTCGGGTATTGAGTTTGAATCCCCTCAGACGAATGATGCTATATGGGGGTAATACTCGAGTGGTTTGACGCATGCGTCCAACCTATACCTAACAGGTTGCAAGCCAGAAGTGGTTGGTTGTTCTGGCCGTCAACCATTTCAAAGAATGATTGGAGGCTATTACCTCCGACCACCCTCGTGTGACCAACTTTTTGAGGACTGCCCTCACTGCCGGTAAATCGTCCAGAGGGAGATTCAAATCCGTGGCCCAAGGGGACTTATGATCTTCAAAAAGACTGCTCTACGAACAGACAACGACTGACGGCATATATAAATATAATATACTGATTGGCATGTACATTATATGCAGGATGAATACATAAAAATTGAGAACGGAGGCTATCATATATCCGCAAAAGCCTTAAGGATCGTATGGGGCAATGATAACCGTTTCTGGGAATGGATTAAGCTATCAAAAGAAGACTCTTGGTATACATATAATTTCAATTCTGCATGAAATACACATTTTTTAAAAGATACATTTACATATATACCACACAATTCTTACATATCTACATACCCTATCCCCCATACTTTCATATTTACATTCATAACACTCAAAACCCTTAACATCAATATAATCACTTCTACCAACTTTTTAAATTTCACATGCAGCTTTCCATGCATGTTATATATGCAAATCCATAAGAATTGAAGTATAATTATGCAAATGACGACAGCTTTGAGATTGGTGCGGAGCTGATTCAAGTGAACTGGATGGAGGTAACCGGTTCCCTAAACTTGGAGAAATTTCAGCTCGATCCACTGAAGACTTATGAAATAATTTACGTAATAAAGTTCAAAATTGACGCATTTGGCTGGCGTTCTTCTCCCATCACATTTGAGCTCTCCACCTCCGAAGGAAAGAGCAGCAGAAACGAAGTATATTTGGAGAAGCACATAAAGGAGGACATAAACTGGAATGAGATCTGTGGAGCAGAGTTCAGCTTAGCTTCTTCAGAAATGAGGGGGAAGAAGATTGAGTTTGGGATGAAGGAGGTGAAGACTGAGTGGTGGAAGGGAGGAATAGTTCTGGAAGGAGTGAGGATTAGGCCTAAGATTATTGCTAAATGATGATTAATTTATGATTAACTTATGATTAGTGTGTTGTTTTACTGTAAGTTTTTTGCTGTAATTTTTTTGGTGATGTGTGTGAGTTTGTGGGCTTGGTCTGGCTAGCTGTTTGATTATGATATGTAGTGTGTTGTGCTTTGTTATAATATGTTGAGTTTATTTATTTATTTATTGGGCATGGATAGATATAGATAATCCACATTCTTAAATTTCACCTCTATTCATAAATTTATAGACTTTGATCATAATACATAGTTAACCATACAAAGACAATATAATAAAACATAGATGACAATACACGACATTGTGACATATCTTGTAATTCTATAAAACTTGAGCTGTCGAATAGACACGCTGCCAATTTTGTTAATTGAACATATTCAATATTAGGACATCATAATTGAGCAGTTTATTTTTTCAAGAAAGATGAGCCGAAAGAGCAACATGTAAGATCGAATCAACAATCTCACGGTGGGAAATAATACCCTCAATTACTATGTTGTGAATAAATGCACAGTTTAATATTTATTTGACTAACACTATTGATGTATTGACAAATAGTACAACCATTTTGCCTTGTTCTATGAGTAAATACTTGATTGTCTAAGAACCCGACATAGTAATAGAACATATTCATAATTACTCAGATATTTCTGTTTATTTGTTTAGAATTAATTCCTTCTTTTTTATATTTATATACCATTCTAATCTATTAAACCCATATTTATGTACAACCACATATGCTACCTCTTGCAGAATGTAAGTACTTAGTAGAATAGTATTGTATACCAATAGCACAAAAAAAGGCATTTACATACATGCAACACAATTCCTATGCATTTACATATCAACACCTAAACTCTGCATTTTTAATTTTATGCCCCACAAATATACATATATTTTTCAAAAAGGAATGGCCGGAGACGATCATACAAGCCCCGACTATCCCTCGTGCGCCTAAGAATTCGAGTACCACACTCTACATTCGGTGAGAATCGAATCCCAGATTAGAGGAGACTTACAACTAACAAGCAGAGGTCTGGCCAACTGATCTGAGTATGCGGCACATATATGTATATATATATATATATATATATATATATATAGTGAAGTTTAGATGATAGATATGTAAATACATAAGAATTGGGTGGCATATATGTAGCTAAATGCCAGTAATTATACATCCCTATTAATGCATCGAAATTCACCCTATCAAACCCCACTAAAAAGTTTATATTAAGTCTTTAAGATGTCAAAATGTATTAGATTTATTTTGTAATATAGCTTTTTAATATATTTTTCATCGATTATTTAATTCAATGGCAGAATAAGTTTAATATTCATCTAAAAAATTCAATCAATATATTCCAAGACACTTTTTTCTTTCTCAAAATTGAATGTCAAGCTCATTCTAAATGCCAGAATCATTTCTCAAACCTGGAACAAACAAAAGCGAGCAGAAGATCCACAACAGAAAGCATAATAATAGTAAATTTATAATTTAGTAAATAAATGCCCATTTCATAAACGAATTGGAGTTTCTACAATTAATAAAAATGATATTTTACCTTTCTAACCTAATCACACCCAGGAATTAATTTAGCTTTCTACCACTATACTGATCATTCCCTAACGTTGTGCATAGACTAACATTTATCCCTTCTAAGGCTGTAGAGTAGATTCTCTATGTTTTCTATCTTTTTCTTATCTGCTGATTATCTAATTAGTAAAGGAATTTATAAACCTGGAACGATTTGAAGAGCGATTATCAACTGCAAGGTACCGACTTTGGGCTCGTCGGAGTCCGATGAATAACGAAATGATCAACAATCCTCACGGATTTGATCGGATCGACGGACGAAGCCGCCTTCCATTTGCTGGGGAATTTCCTCAAGTAGCTCAGCTGGAGTGGTGGTTTTGGTTCAGCATCCCAATCTGGATCCAGCTGCCACTCTTTCGGCACCTGACAAAAAATTTAGCGCAAATGAAATCTTAGTTTGCAAAAGCAAAAGGCTCGGTGAAGACAGACAAATTCAAAATTAGTTTGGGGCATTTACGTGCATACCACCCAACCACCCAAATCTCACATATCACATCAAAAATTCAAAATTGCTGACATCTTAACTTTTAAAAAGTGAAATACATCTTCTCATAAATAGGTAAAGTGGTATAAATGTAAAAATTGAAGTTTAGGTGCTAGTATGCAAATATATAAGAATTGAGTGATACATATGTAAATCTTCCAATAATCGAATGTCAGGGGTGAAGTCAAAATGAGGTAGATTCCGAAAAAATTTTTGTGACTTTTACATACATACCATCCATTTCTAATGTATTTATATATCAAACACCTACACTTTACTTTTTTACATTTCTACGGCCTAAATCCTTCACATCATAACAAAACTACCACCATTTTAACTTTTTAAAAATGAAATACACCTTTCATGCATACTTAAAGTAGCATAAATGTATAAATTGAAGTATAGGCATTGGATATGTAAATACATAAGAATGGTGTGATATGTATGTAAATCTTCCAAAATTTTGTGCCTATGTCATCAGCTTATCAAAATAAAAAGCAATAATTGTTACCTTATCCACAGCAAGGGTGAAGACTTCTAGGTCACCACTTTTCGTTATATGGAAACGGGTAAAAGCTTTGTAATTTGCGATGCGAAGGGATGAGAAGGCTTCATCAAAATGAATGTGGAACCAATTGATACAGATGTACAGATAACATCCAAATATCAGTGACACAACCGGAGTTGATAGGACCCAGAAATAAAGAAAAGTAGAAGCATAATAAATGACAGATGCCCCCCTGGAAAGAGACTGCATTCCTTTCTTGCAAATTGTTTTTCTGGAGACAGCCATAACCTGCAAAAGAAAAAAAAAATGGGAGAAGAGAGCAATGAAAAAGTAAGAGAGGAGCGCAGGTCAATTATGGAATGTCGAAGGCCACCTCTGGAATGTCGAAGGCGGACATTAGGTACTTTATGCATGCAGGATAGAGTCCGAATGTCCACTTTTCCATGCGAGCACGTAGTCCGGTTGGATCGGGAAAGTGCTCGCTTTCCATGGATCGATACCAATCATAGAGTGTGTGGTAACCTGAGAAGTTATTGTTTTTAAATTATGTTTAACAATTAAATTTACACTGCTGTGTGTAGACAGGAAGTACTGTAATCTGGTAACTGGAGATTTGGCGAAGAAGAAATTTAACAAAAAAAATAGATACATATTACTTTTCATACAACATAAGTCTTTATCCCACTAAGTGTGGTAGGATACGTGAATCATTTTTCTCTGTTGTGTCCTATTGACTGTCATTTTTCATTTAATTCCAATAAATTAAGATCATTATTTAGATGACATGCAAAAGTCCTTTTAGGCCTACCTCTACCTTTTTTAACATCACTCAAATCTAAAACAGCTACTCCCTTAATCGAGTTATCAGTGGTCGAGGATTAATATGACCAAACTATCTAAGATGACTCTCTCCAATGTTGTATGCCACTAGAGCTACACCAACCCTTTTACGGATATATTCGTTTCACATTTTGCCTATAAGTGTAAAACCACTCATCCACCTAAGCATTCTCATCTCTGCAAATCAACTTACTTTTATGCTTCTCAACATTCTGCGCCATAAAGTATAGTAGGTCTCTGCTACACCGGCCCTTAAGGGCAATCTTTTATGTGCCTAAGGGCAATTTTGTCTTTATTAGCTTAAGAGCAATTTAATTATTTGTCATTTATTATTATTTAGTAAAATATGACTAATATGTTTAGGGTTATGGTGATGCAAAAGATTGTCATATTAAATATTATGGTTATAATTTGGGAAAGACTTCCTACCTCTCAAATTGTAGGATTTGGGAGATATCGCCCACCTCTTGATTTGTAGATGCTTATATTTATGTATTCGTAATGTATTGTTTTGATTTTGGAGTATTCGTGAAATAGAATGTTTGCCCAAATTTCTATGGAAAATCGTGTCAAGTCGAATCAGTCTCAACACCATCTTATAAAATTTTACTTTAAGTATAAGTGGCATTTTTCTATCACATAATAGTCCTGATGCATTCCTCTATTTCAACCATCCAACTTGAATTCCACTAATAAGATCTTCATCTATATCATCATCACCTTGAACAATAAACTGATATGTCTAAAACATTCACTCCTTTTAATGACTTGATCACCCATTATTACAACCCCACCACTAGATCTACTACTAAAATTATATTCTATGTATTCAATTTTAGATCTACTCAAACTAAAGCCTTTAGACTATAAAATTGACTTCTATAATTCAAGTTTTTCCTGAACTCTTTCTCTTGTCTTATCCACAAGAAGAATATCATCAACGATCAATAAACACCAAGGTACATCCTCCTGTACTTGTCCAGTAAAAACATCCATAACTAAAGAAAAAGATGTGGGCTTAAAGTAGAATCCTGATGTAATCCAACTGAAATTAGAAAATACTTGGTCAATCCTCCCCCTATTCAAACAAAACTAAAAACTCCAATATTTATGTATGTATGTATGTATGTATGTATGTATGTATCTATAATTTTTTTTCCACAAAGAATGGTTGGAGGCTATGATACGAGCCCCCAACCATCCTCAATCCCGCACTGCAAGACAAATACACTCAAGCGGAATTAAACCCATGATCCCCCAAAAAGTCACGGCGAGTGGGTGCCCCATGATCCCCCAAAAAGTCACGCGCGCGCGCGTGACACACACACACACACACATATATATATATATATACAAACATACATATATAATGACTTGAATATAGATCATATCAACATCTTTCTTTTCTATAACTCACCAAAATACTCTTAGAATCTTATAGTAAGATTTTTCTAAAAAAAACAAATCATATGTAGATTCTCTTTATTTTTACTTCTCCATCAAAGAGCTCAATAAACGTATAGCTTCCATAGTAAACTTGACCAATGTAAATCTAAACTAATTTTGAGAAATTTTTGTATCATATAACCTATGTTCAATTACTCTCCCATAATTTTATATATGACACATTAACTTAATTCTTCTATAATTTTCATACTTATAGACATCCACTTTATTCTTAAAAATATAAAACAAAAGCCTATCCCCCACTCCTCAGTCATCTTTTAGTTTTTAAAATAATATTAAAAATTTTAGTAAGTCAAGAAATTCTCAAATCTCCTTAATATTTTCACACTTCTATTAGAATATCATGAGTTACTGGTGATTTTATTTCTTTAAAGTTTTATCAACTTTTGTTGTATTAATATGACGGTAAAATTAAAAAGTCTTACTATTATTAACAATATTAAGATCATTTAAGCTAATCGTATTTTCAAAATCTTTATTGAAAAGTTTATCAAAATATCTCACCCACCTTTATTGAATATCCTCATCTAAGAAAAATATTTTTTAAATTTCATCATTAAAAAGCTTTACAGAACTAAATCATTACTTTTATTATCTCTTCGTTTGGCCACTTTATAAAAATATCTTTCATTCCTTTTAGTATTTAATCTACTATAATGATCACTAAAAGTATAATTTTTAGCATCACAGATTGTTTTCTTAGACTTCCCATGACCACCTTTTTTTTAGTTCTTAAGCATTTAAAATTAAACCAACTTTTATAACAAATTTTTTTATATTTTATATTTTCTTGCACTTATTATTCCACTATCAGCTATTTTTATTTATACGAATTTTTCCCTTCACCTTTCCGAGTACATCTTTTGCAAATTGCATAATATCGTTTGTCACTTTATCTCACATATCATTAACTTCTTCATGAACATCTAAAATCTTAAGATCTTAAAGTTTACCAACAAAAATAATTGTATTTGTCTTATAAATGTCCTCACCTAATTCTATGATAATATTTTGTTGTATTTTTCATCTTCCATCTCTTCATTTTAAAATCCAAAATCAATAATTTATGTTGTACACTTAAATTTTTACTTAAAATAACCTTAAAATTTTTACACTCTCGACGATTTATTTTTTTCGTAAGAAAAAAATTAATTTGTGTTTTATTAGATCTATCCTTATAAATGATAATATACTCATAAATTTTCTTAAAGAAAGTATTAACAATAAAAAATCATAAGCTAAAACAACACCAAATATGATTCAAACTTCTTTATTAGTCACTCTAAAACTCTAGCCACCATGAATATTTTTAAAATCTTCTACCATTCTACCAATATGCTTATATAAATTTTCTCCAATAAAATTTTTTTCTTCAAAAGATATCTTTTGTATTAATTTTTTTAGGTCATTCCATTTTTTTTAACATATATCTAAATAAACTTGAGAAGTATAAGCCCTTATAACAATAAAAAACTTAGTATCAATAACAATCATTAGAGTTATAATTATATCTCTAATTCTATTAATTTTTATAGTATTATCTTTCAAACTCTTATCTATAATTACACCTACATCATTTCTAGTACGACTCTTGCCTAAATACCAAAATTTAAAATATAAGTTATTAATTTCCTCAATTTTTTCTCCATCTCATTTAGTTTCATGAATGTATAAGATATTTATCTTCCTATGAATCATGATATCTACTAAATATTTATAGTTATTTTCTATTATTTTGTTTGTTCGGTATTTTTTCTTTTATTTCATATCATAAAGTTTGTTAGAACTTTCCCTCTTTAATCTACTAACTGGGTTCTATCTCATTATATAAACTTAACTTCACTCCACCCTTTGGAATAAAAAACTTAACTTCTTCACGTGTACTTAAGATGTCCATGTTTACCATTTATAAGAAAGGATGGGTTCGAAGACCATCATCATAATGATATTGTCAAACTCTAAAATTGGACCTATGCTAGCAAGCCCCAACTTCCATTTACATATCAAAAGTTTTGAAGAAATAACTCCAGTTTAACTTTTCATTTTACTATGGGTTCCACAAGATAAGAACCACTCTATGAATGATTGTTAATTTGTATGTCGTGTTGGCTCAAAATTCACTCGTTAACTCATAGTTGAATAAAATCTATAAGCTAGATTGAAATCAAACCCATTCCAACCACAAGCCAAACTCAAGCCATCTAGGATTTGATTGAGATGACCAAAGTCGACGATAGATGAATGTGCTCTCACCCCTAATGAGAAATGTGCTAAAATAAGCATAAGGTTATAAAACTAAATAAAGTTTAAAAGCTAATAAATTGAGAAATAATATAATAATAATTAATTATATCATATGCAATCCTAGTAAGTATAATATTAACAATTATTACAATAAAGCGAAACTCAAGTGCAATAATTTTCAGTATCTTTGATCAATTATTCATAATATAAGGAATATAGACGAGAATATAACTTATATAAAGTTAGGAGGACGGGAGGGTTAAAATAGAGATGTGCCTTCATAGCAATTATGTCATGAAATACTACAAACTATGTAATGAAATAATTTTATTAAAAATAAAAAAAAATAAAAATCGCAATTAGATCAACTATGTTATATGAATAACATTGTGGCAATAAGAAAGTTATTGATAGTTAAGGTGAGCATGATAAGAATAAGAATATTAACATCGACATATGGAAAAACCAGAAAGAGTATATCTACAGATGATTATACTCAAGAAATCGAATTGAAGATAAAGTAGTTATAAATAGATTTAGGAAATTTGCATATATATACAGGATATTAAAAAAATACTCTCATTAGATTGGAATATATAAACAGTTTTAAAGAACAGATATACCTAAGGCAAAATTGGTAAAAGTTGTTCAAAAACCAACTCAAATGAATGAAAAATAAGGATTCATGACACCAACTTAAATAATTAGGATAAATAATACCAATAATGATGAAAAGATATTTTTTCACATGCCCCCTATTTCTAACAAACCTGAAACACTTAAACTTTTGTTTCAAGTGAAATTATCATGCTTGTAGCATCATAAAATGCTTGGAGTCTTTTACTCTAGTTCTATGTACCTTTCACTTTCTCATAGAGCTAATCTGAAGCTAACCAAAAGAAATCATAGTTGATAATGAAAAATCAAAGTAAAAAAAAATGCATAAATAAAATTGAAACAAAAACAGCATA